TGCTATGACCTGCGATTGCGAGCTGTCGGAGTCACATGGGGTTCCACCAGGAGGCACATGCCTGGATTCCTGTGGCAGTCACCACATGCTGGAGTGATGCTGCAGCCACATCACGATGAACGTGTTCGGCACATGACGTGACACGGAAACATTGTGGGGAAACTTATCACCGGAGCAAAGGGGCCACCGACGCTTCTTCCCTGCCCCATGGGCGTCAGTCGCACCCCATGTGAATCGCCCGATTACCCTTGCGGCATCCAAGTTGCCGCATCATCTGAAGCCAGATAGCTTCCAGTCCTTCCCCCACCAGATCCTGCAGCTTGTTGTCGGGCCTGGAGGGCTTGGGCGCCACCCCAGCTGGGAGGTTCGGATGTGGCAAGGGCGAGGCGGTCAATCACCCAACGTAACGCTGGCACATCGAGAGCGGGGGAAAGGAAACACGATGCCTTCTTTCACCCCAGGATCACGCAAACCCCGCCACTCTGTGGCAGCATGGAAAGGATAGCTCGGCCTTTCGATCCGGGTCTCTGGGGAAGCTGTTGCCCTGCAGCTCCCCCAGCAGCTAACCTCTGCACGCACCCTGTGCTCTGAGACCGAGAGCCGCCACCTGCACAGGGATGCGGACTCCAGCGGAGCATCGTCTGGAGAAGCGCAGAGATACGGGTGGCTGGAAGAGCTCTCCTCCGCCTCCCCCATCGTTCTTACAAGCCCCGTGTTGTGTCAACAGGATCGATACTGCGAGTAGGAATCATAAAATGGCTCGCTGAGTTTACCCGATGGCACTAAGTGAGCGGCTGTCACGCTCATGCACGGGAGTGTTTCTCGACAGTGCGAGATGGTGCGGGCTTCCTCTCTCTAAGTTCCTTAAAGAAGGGGTACCCAAGAAAGACGAGGAGGGAATTTTAAAAAGCAAGATGGGGAGAGTCACACCAGTGGCTTTCCGGTTCAATTTCATTGTCAGGTCGGAGCTGTGGGCCGCGTTTTGAGGTGAGCCAGGGCCAGGGAACCAGGAAAACCAGGAGGCACGGCGGAAGCAAATGTTAGAGCCAGAGGGCAGGATAAAGGAGCAAGCCAGGAATCAAAACCCAGGAACAATCCGGGACGAGCCAGAGCCATGGCCGAAGGGGGACCGTCTTCCATGACTCGCTGTCCTAGGAGGGCTGGTCCTGAGGGCATTTTGGGAATGCAGACCCTACATCACTCAGGGTGGTGGTCTGTGAGATTCCAGCAGCTCCTGACATTTAATACACAAATGGAGGGGGGGAATGTACTCCCTTTCATGCCATTTTAATGGCATTCAGCATTTTAAAGGCAGCACTCCCTTTTGATGGGTTCAGTATTCAATGGAAGGCCATTAATGCAATTTGCCTTGATAACCCCACATAGTTCAGGTGCCGTGTGATGGATTGCGGATCGCTGGCTCAGGATGATGGGTTGACATTTGTGAGGGAGGGAGGCGATGCTCTCCTAGCAGGGCAAAGAGCGCTCTGTTTTGTGGTGAGATCAGAGACGGGAGTCCAAGCAGCCCCTTCCCGACTGGGTTTGTTCTTCTGTGAAAGGAGGGGAAGGGGGAGGCTGCGTTTCATCTCGGCTTGTTTTCACTCACTTATGGAGAAGAGAGAACAGGACTCCACCAGGACTGGTGCATCCAGTCCCCAGCGCCCCCTGCGCCTGGGTAACTGGGGGAGAGGGCCGCAGACCAGACGGTCTTCACTGGGGTGTGATTGGCTGGCCTCAATTAGCCAGGCATGGCGGGGGAGAGCGAGAGAGGGGCCCAGGGCTGGGGCGCGGGGGGGGGGGGGAAGACGAGAGAGGCCGTCGCAGGGACCGGCTGAAACAACAACCGCTGCTTGGCTGCCTGCAGGAAAGGGGCCCTCCTGGCTCTTGCTCCCATTTCACAGACAGGCTGAGCAGGCCAGAGGGAGCCGGTGAGGTGGGATGGAAGGGGTGTGAGTTGGGGGGGGGTGACCAAAGGTGTGTCAGAAGGGGAAAGGGGGGAGAAGAGGTGTCCCAGGCCGCTCTGCGTTCCCTCCCCATCTAGGACAGATGTTGGCCATGGCTTCTAGCGGAAATCCCTGCGGAGAGACGGGTTTGCAGATGGGTTCAGCAGCAGGGACCACTCCTATAAAGCTCAAAAGAAACTCTGCCATGGGTAGGCAGCCCCGCTGACCTACGGCTCCTAGTCTCCCTGGCTGAGCAGGCGACTCACCTGCTCAGTCTTTGCCCCTCCAGTGAGACGGACTGTATTCCCACTTCAGTGACGGAATCGATTTTACATTTGCACCCAGCTGGAGATGTCAGGCCAACCTACATCCTCTCCGGTTCCCCCTTTGGACATGCATCTCTTCCTTTTTTGGCAAGACGTGAATGCTCTCCTTACAGCAGCGTAACAGTTTTGCTTCACCTGTTACTCACCGGGAAGAGAAACAAGCTCCGTCGTACTTTCCCCGTGCTTCTTGACCGGGAGCAGGCAGGGAGTCTCTGAATTATTGAATGAGTGTGTGCAGTGGGGGGAAAACAGGCAGCAAGCAGAAGTGAGAGGCTGTGGCAGACGGAGGCCCCCGCCTGGCCGCCAAGCAGTGAGGGGTCAGCACAACCGCCGTAAACCTTCGAACAGCTGCAGACCCCTTGGGCAAAGCTCAGGGGGCTGCTACCAGCCTCAGTGGAAACCCCTGTGAAATGGGTCCTTTGTGCATTCTCCGTGGCAAGATGCAGTTCCATCGCTTCTACCTGCATCCTGTGTGTGCAAACCCAGCCCATGTCTTGCAGCATTCGGTGTGTGAATTAATACATACGTGTGTGTGTGTTGACCGACCCCGATGTCCTGTGTTTCACCACTGGCTGCAGTTTTAAACATCTGGAGAGGAGGAATTTGAAAATCAGCGGATTTCAGAGTTTACGAAATGCCCGCTTTCCTTTTGCGGGAGGGGATTGCTACTGGCTATGAAAACAATCTCTCAGGCTGCTCGAAAGCACACAGCATCCGGAAGCCAAAGCAAGAGAAGTCCTTTCTGTGTGAGGCAGCACAGCGAGCAGGGGCTGCTGTTCCAAGGTCAGTTTGGGGCCTCTCAAGATACATAACACCGGGGAGCTCCTAGTCAAGACGCATTTCCAAAACCAGGACCCCATTCTCGCCTCAGGACAAAGAGCGACCCCCACCGTACAACCCACCCTGAAAGAAAACGTTGATGCATTTTTTGTGAGGCCTACACAAAATCAAAACCACTTTTCTGGCTCTTGCCAAGTTGGAGGCTGGACTTCGTTATTAATAACGTGTTTGGAATGCGTGAGTCTGTCAAAACACGATGCAAAGTTTACACAGTTTTCTGGCTGCAGCTCTTTCGGGAAGAAGGAAAGGAGAGCCCCAACCAAGGTAAAAACATGAGCTTGTTGTGCCCAGTCTTTATCTATCGGCATCTGTCTTTTGCATTGCGGAGAAAAATGCTACATTTTACATAACGTAAAATGTCTGTATGCTTTTCTGATATTTGATACGATTTTTGGTTCTTCCAGAAATCGTCATCCTCGGCGTCTCGCCCTCTCCCCAGACAGTTCACTCGGCATCTAGGCTAAAGCTAGCAATGCTCGGAGAAACTAAACTAAACATCCATGGATAATTCGGGCTGTGTTTTGTTTTCTGGAAAGTGAGCGGGTGAGCAGGAAATGATGCCACAGGTTGTAGGACAGGAAAAAGTGAATTGAGCCAGCCTGCTTCGAATGGACTGTATACAGTTCTGGTCAATGAACACAGAAAACGTTCTCGTAGAGTTGGAAAAAGTGCAGAAATGGGCCACGCGTATGACCGAAGGGCTACCTAAATTCCTCTAGGAGGAAAGGTTGAAATGTCTGGGATTGTTCCGCCCAGAGAAAAGGAAAGAAAAGAAAAGTGAAAGCAGAGATGATGGAGGTCTACAAAATCGTGCACGGTAGGGAGAGAGTGGAGAATTTTCTCCCTCTTCCATAGCACTGGAATCCAGGGCCATCCCATGAAGCTGTTGGGTGGGTGATTCGGGAGAGATAAAAGGAAATACTGCTTCTTGAACTGGGTGGTGGCCTTCCAGATTCTGGCCTCCCTGTTCCCACCCCGACACACAAGCTCCCTGCTCTGGGAACTGCTCAGAATGACTTCACTGTGCCAGGGAAACAGAGAGCAAGGATTGCCTGGGAAATGGTGGTACGCGGATGACCCAGCATCAGCCGATAGATGAGCAATTCCTCCCCGGTTTAGAAATGCCGTCATTTCTTACCCAGCAAGGTGCGACTTTGCAATCAGATATGTGCAGCTTGACTCGCATGTATGAGAAGCCTCAGAGGACATTTTGTCTGTGATGTGCAGAAAACTTGGGGCCAGGGCTGAAACGGATCACAGCATCCCTGCAGACTTGTTCTCCTGGCTCTGTTTTCTGCGTTTTTCCTTTGTCTCCTGGTTTCGGCGCTCCCAGCTTCAAGGTCTTGCATGAGTATACATCTTTTTGATGGCAATGTCTTTTGCTTCGGGAGCCGGAGATGCTGGACCCAAGCTTGCCCTGAGGTTCTGTCTTTGGCCCGTTGCCTTTTCCAGATTTCCCTTTTAAGCCCTTGGCACACAGCTAAATTGTCTCGGAAAAAGTTTGGAATTCTGGTTTGCCAAATGATTTCCTACATCAAAACAACTGGGGGGGAGGGTGGCGGGGAATCAAACTGGTTTTCCCCCTGTGGCTGACAAGGTTTCTATTTTCATTTACTAAAAACAACACAGATGCCAGAGAAGACGTGCATTTCCCAACTTTCTTTACAGCTGAAAAGCAAACAAAGAAACGGGGGAGTTCTGATTGTATCATAGTAAAAATACTTCTGGAAGTAAGTTTAACCCTTCTTCCCCATCCCTTGTTTTTTCAGAGATCTCAGCTGGTTCCCTCCTAAAGTTGCTAGCCAACCCCCCCAGTAGGAATTGGGTCTCAAAAGTGAGCAAGGCAATTTCCTTTTTCCTTTCTATTTTGGCAGCCAAGCGGGGGGGAGCCATGGGCCCACTGCTCTGCTTCTTAGTGGTGCTGCTCTTTGCCGGGACCCAGAGCTGCCCAGAGGTGTGCAGATGCGAAGCCAAGAAGAAATACGGGCGCCACATCGCAGACTGCTCATACAAAGACCTCCAGGCCGTCCCCGGGGGCCTGCCCTCCAATGCCACGACCATTACCCTGTCCGTGAACCGCATAACCCACCTGTGGGAAGACTCCTTCACGGATGCCAAGGGCCTGCAGGCTCTCTGGCTGTCCCACAACGAAATCCGTGCCATTGCGAAGGGCACCTTTGCCCTGCTGGTGCAGCTGCGGGCCATTGATCTGAGCCACAACCAGATCTCTGACTTCCCCTGGGGGGACCTGCAGAACCTCACTGCCTTGCAGCAACTGAAGTTCAGCTACAACCGCTTGGAAAGGGTTCCCCCAGGGGCCTTCCACACGCTCACGGCCTTGAGGTCTCTCTGGCTGAGCGACAACCGCCTGACTGTCCTCTCCGAGGGCACGTTCGACTCGCTGTCCCAGTTGTCGCACCTGCAAATCAACAGCAACCCCTTCGACTGCTCCTGCAAGAGCTGGTGGTTGAGGAACTGGCTGGAGAAGACGCCGGTTTCCGTCCCAGAGAGGGAGTCCATCACATGTGCTGCTCCGGAAAAGCTGAAGGGGCTTGTTCTTGGGAAGACCCTGAAGCTGGACTGTGCGCTCCCGTCGGTGAAGCTGGTGTACCACTCCAGCCTGGGGAACAGCGTCTTGCATGACGGGCTGACGCTTCATTTGCACTGCAGTGTGGTGGGGAAGCCCCCACCCCAGATCCAGTGGAGAATCCAGACCTCCACTCAAAACGTCGTGCTGAGTGGGCCGAACGTCGAGGGGCAGGGGGACAACTCGGTTGTGGGGGTGACTCCTGAGCAGAGTGAGGGACACCACCTGGTCTTCAAGAATGGATCCATGGTCATCTCCCGCTTCAGCAAGACTGACGAAGGCGTTTATACCTGCCGGGGCTCGAATGAGCTCGGATCTCGCGAGGCCTCGGTCAGCGTGGGTTTGGCCAGCTCGGAGAATCCCGCCACAGATGTCCTCCAGAACAACATCCAGTCCAGCAAGTCCAAATCCAAACTTTGCGACAAAGAAGAGTACTCGAAGCCGGAAGAGAAGGTTGTGCTCATCTACCTCACTCCCGTAGCGCCAAAGACGAGCAGCGGAGGAACTCCACGGGAGCCGTGGTACTGGGGTAGCCTCTTTCTGCTTTTCTTGCTCGCCCTTTAGAGAGGAAGTGCCTGTAATCCAGCATCCCATGTAGAAAAATAGGGCTTTGGATTTGCAGGCGAAACTGAGATGTGTCTTTTAAACCACGTGGGGTCTGTGCAAGGCTTCTGCCTCAGTATGAAAGTTAGGCATGCCACTTTTGGCAAGTAACCCCGTCCCCTTTGCCTTCACGTGCAGGGGAGTCTGTGCGAAAACCTGCAGCCTGAAACCCCGATTCTGTAACTGGAACATGTCCTTGCATTAGCTGCCGAGCATCAGTGGGTTTGGCGCTTCCCACTTAACCCACCTGACAGCCACTCCTTCTTGCTAGCAAATTCGGGGAAGTGGAGCTTTGTGCATGGAGAGTAGAGCCCACAGGGAGTACTCAGTCCCCTGCAAAATTAGGATATTTGGGCTCTTCGACGCTTCAAAATGGTCTAGAATGTACTCAGATTTGTGACGCAGATGGGGCAGGAGCCGGTTGTGTCGCTGCCGCAGCATGTATGCGCTGGAAGAGCACCGGACCCCTGTCCCAGCGAAGCATCCGCAGAATGTTTGTGCAAGTGTGCAATATGCTTACACAAGTTGTTGTGTGACAGGTTGCACATTCCACTTGGGCAGCGGTTGGTGCATTCCCCTTGCACAACTCCAAGTACACAGTGGGATTACACCACCGGAGACTGCCTAGGATTTTTGCAGGAAGAATTAAGAGTTTTAAAAAACCAACATCCATTCTTGTTTTAAATTGCAATAATAGGTGGGGAGAGGGGCTTCCAGAGAAGGTTTTTCAGAAATTGTGCATTCCCCTGCTTCATGCACAAACTTTTACAAGAGGTGCCAAGTGCTGTCTTGTATGTGGAACTTTTCTCTTTTCACCACGACTGTCTTTCTTCTTGCCACAAGGAAGAAAAACAAAGAAAATCAGTTCAGAGAAAGACAGGATGGACATTGTATCATAGAAATGTTTATCATCATTTATGATCTACGTTGTGCAACTTTTCATTTTGCTGTGTAATCCAGCTCTTTGCTTTATCCTGCAACAATATGCATTTTGTAATTTTTTAGCAAAATGAATGGAATATCTTCTTCTGAGGAGTCATTTTGCTTGATCTCTGCACCATGTTTCGAAACGAGTATTTGAAGGACCAAGTTGCTCTGTGTGGTCTCACACCACGGCCTCATTTCCAGCCAGGGGTCAGCAACTGTCATTGGAGATCTTCCAACTAGAGGAAGATGCTGAAGATGCAGGGAGCGATCCAGGGTGCAGGACAGTTCTGGGGGAGCGGAGGACGCCCCTGGGCCCTCTGCATGTTGGGGGACCCATAGTCCAGCACTTCATTTGGAGAAGGGACTGGGGGCTCCTTGGGTTGGAAAAATCTCACTTCCAGGTGGCAGCTTGGGAAGCTCCATGGGCAGGACGAGGCCTGCAGGTTGCAGGAGCCGAACCCTGGCTGAAGATGAAATTCAGGATGTCTTGCATGTGGTTGCTGCGGCTGCTGTTATATTGTTTTCATCACTGTGCTGTCTGAAGGCCAAGCTCCCTGAGCAGCTTACGATGATTCATAAAAACACAGAGCACAAACACAACAACTGACAGCATCTTTTTTCCTAAGACATGACATTTAAAAACAGCTGGACAGCTAAAGCAATTTTCGTACAAACTGGCCCTCCTGGTGCGGCATTAAGTCCATCAAGTGTGCTGAAATGCCTGGGAGAAACGGGCGGCCCACGAGTTGGCACTGGGAGGGTCTCGCTGGGGAGAGCATCCCAGAATAGGGGGGCTGCCGCTGAACGGGTCTCCTTGCCTTGGTGGCATTCTTCCTGCTCCCCTTGAAGGCTGCAGCTGGCAGAGAATCTCAGATCTTGCTTGCAACAGCTGGGCAGATTCCGCTGGGGAGAGGCACTCCTTCAGGAACTGTGGCCCCAGCTGTGTAGGACTCCACCAGCAATTGAACGGGCCTGCGATCATGCAGGCCATCAAGGCAAACAGGCCGGAATTGGCGTTCTAAGTTCAGGCAGTCTGGCCCCACCGTTAGCCTGACCGGCATGTGGCGCAGGTTCTGAACAGTCTTCGAGGACAGCCCCACAGAGTGCATTGCCTGGAGGTTGCCAGGAGACAGGTTCCCGAAGGCAGCGTATCCTTGTCCAGAGAGGGGTGCAGCTGGACCACCAGCTGGAGCTGTGCCACTGGGAGCACCTGAGCCCCAGAAGTCTCCAGGTGGACCCCCAGGCTACGTCTTCCTCCTTCAAGGGGAGTGCAACACTCTCCAGACAGATCGCGTTCCTCCATCGGCTCAGAACCACCTGGTAGCATCTCGGACTCGTTAGCCCTCCAGCCCATTATCACAGCCTACTGAGCACACACCCTGCAGCCTTGTGGTATCCCTCGTAGGGACGGATGCCTAAGGTCCCAGAATCGATCTGGGCCTCCTTCCAGCGCCCTGTCCTTGGCGGCCCTGCTCGCCTCTCGTGAGCGAACAACGGAGGCTTCCTCTGTGGAATTCCACGTGGCCATTGCTTTCCTGTTGCCGCTGTGTCTGGCAGCCCCCAGCCTCCCGTTCGCCTTGGCCTAGCCGTGCTTTAGCAGCGCTGCTGTTCGCGCTTGTCCTCTGCAGCTGGTTGAGCGCCTTCTAACCTGCGGGTTTCGCCTGCTGGCATTACCTCTGTCATTTGGGGTTGTTTTCATGGGGTCTTCAAGGTAAGGAGCATCCGGAGGTGGTTCCCCGTAGAACTCTTCTGAACAGTACAGGCCAGGGTTGGAATCCCTGCCATTTCCTGTGAAAGGTCCTCCACCCACGTCACCTCCAGCTTCGGCTGTTGCAGAAGCTGCTTCTCAGGAGCTTCTCCACCCCACCCCATTAGAGACATCCATTCTCTCCTGCGGATGCAGCGGTTGCTCCTCAAGAGTGTGGATACCCCGCAGTCCAACGTCTCTGCTTCGACCCCTTTGCCTTGGGCTTCCCCTCTAGGAGCCCAGCTGCCCTCAGCCGTTCTGACGCACTCAAACGCCCTCACCGGATTAAGCATGCATCCAAGAAGAAATCCGCACATTTCTTCACAAATCCACAAATTTCTCCACAAATCCGCAAATTTCTTCACAAATTTGCAGATTCGCAAAATGCACAAATTCGGCAGCTGCAGGAGGTCATTCGGGTGAGACGTGCTCGCCTCATCACAGCAAGGGAATCACTCTGCGGTCACGCGGTGTGGGCCGAATCGCCATCCTGGCTAGCAGCAACTCCGAGCAGAAATTTTCAGCATCAGCAGGCCGCCTCACCCATGTGCCGGTCAGATCGCTGGTTAGGCACAGCGGAGAGAATTTACTAGGGTGGCTAGATTAACGAACAGGCTAATTAAGCAGAAGAGCAGAACTCCAGCTGTGGTCTAATTACTGGAGGGCACCTTTATGCAAAGCGCAGGCCTGCTAACGACTCTACTGCCTTTAATAGGCTGGCTCACCTTATGGACAGTTTTATGGAAAAAGTTATACAATTAACTCAGAATTAATGAACTGCATAGAGACCTAATTGGAGGAACACAGAAGACGGGCCATCAGGTGCATCTGTCCTGTTCTTGGGGTGTTTTTTTCTGATGGGGTGTTCGTATGGGAGCCAGGTCTGAACTCCCCGGGAGGTGGGAACAGCAGCCCCATTAAACACAGAGCCTCTAGTGAGTTGGATCTGCTTAGACCTGACGCAGTGGGGGGGGCGCTCTCTAAGCCCGGGGGCTCAGGCGGGGGCGCGGCAGCCCACTGGGCTCTCCCACCCAGTCTGTGGAGTGTCTCTGATCGGGGGGGGGGGGGGCAGGGAACCACGTGGAGCTGGGAAACGGTGCTTCCCCCCACCACCAGCGCTGCGTTGTGGGGCTTGGCACCCCCATGGAGATGACATCCCGCCTCCCACAGAGGAGGCCGCATCCCTCTTGCAGGGCCTGCCGGAATGGGGTGCTTCAGAAATGTGATTGCTAATGGGGAAGTCACGTCCCTGAACAGGGAGCAACCGCCCTGCTGCATTTTCGGCCTCTCCAACTCCTTGCGCCGAGCGGGGCCTGCCCCCCCATCCCAAAGCCCAGCGCCGACGGCCTCACGGAGCAGACTGCCGGCCGCTGCTTCCCCCTTCCGGCTGTACCCTCCCGCTGTGCTTCTGCACGCTGAAGACGTTGGCTCCCCAGCCCAGCTCTCCATCGGCTCGCGGAGGGGGAAAGCGGTGCGCAGAAGCCATGGACACGGGGACAAAAGCAGGCCTCCTGGCCGGGTGTAGCAAAGATGTTTATTCCTATTGTCCTCCCCTGCAGCGTTCAGTGCCTGTATTCCAGCTCACCTGGCTCTGGAGCTCACCTGGCCAGCTCCCAACACCAACGGCCAAGGAGCTGCTCTATTAAAAGGGGGTGGGAAGGAGCAGGGAATCCAGCAGGAAAAGAAACGAGAGGGAGCAAAGAACAGCTAAATACTTAGCGCAGGGAGACACAAAGGATTGAACTAAATGTGGTGTTCCTGGAGGGAAGGGGGGTTATTCATTAGAAAAAAGGAAAGTTTCCTCCCCACCAAAAAACCTGTCTATGGGGAACTCTTGACAACAACTAGGAAGACTCAACAGAAGCCTTAGACATGAGGGCTGGTTTCTTTTTCCCATTTCCACGTTTCACCGTCCTGTGATGCTTCACTCCAATGGGAAATGGAGCTAGTCTTGCTACACTGGTGGTCGAAAAGAAAAACAGAATCATTTTTTAAGGCAGGGTCTGTTCACCCTCTCTCTCTCTCTCTCACACACACACACCTCTCCTCGAACATCCAAAGGACGCTCATTCTCTGCATTTCTGGGTACTTGCATGGCTGCCGTCTGTTGTTCTCATCGTTCCCCTAATGCATAGAATGGTGGTAATGCAGGATTCTTCCTACTACCTTTACTAAAACCACACCGAGACCTAGGAAGCATATTCCACTCCGGGAAGACTACAAGCTTTAGCAGTTGTAAGACCACCGTTGCCAATACACGACAGCGAAAGGAGACAGGCCTGTGCTGAGCAGAACAGGAAGGAAAGAAGAAGAAGAACGTCTCTGGGTCGACTCAGCCGTCGGCTTGCCGCCAGGTCTGGCCCCCACCGGTCTGTCCCATCTCGTGCCCTGGAGGGGGAAAGTCTTTTGTCTCGGGGGGGGGGGGGTCTCAGTCTTGCAGTAAAACTATCCGAAAAGGCACATGGGGAAGAACGGCACGAGAGCGGGGATGGGAGGAAACCCGCGTCTTCGCAGAGGTGGGGCCCGTCGCTTCCAGAGCGCCTCCCCATTCACTTCAAGGCTCCTCATGGCCGGCCTGCATCCCATTGGCTTTGCTGTCTGACAGAGCCCCCTTCCGGTAGGGCAGAAGGGAGGGGTTCTTGAGGAGACTGTATGCCAAGCACCACCGGGCACGGGTCTGCTTGCGCCGAGACGTTTTCGATGCCAGCTTCTTGGCCTGCACCAGCTTGACCCCTGCTGGAAGAAGGAATCCCACAAAAGCGTCGATGAAAACCAAGGGGACCCACCGAAGGTCCCACCAGCCTTCTGAAGGGTATCCTGAACATCTTGGGATGGACAGATGGCCTCTTCTACAGGGACCCTCCTCCACCTGCAGCTGTCCTCAATTTTGGGGGCATCTTCCCTTTGAAGGCCTGCCCAGGTGAAGTCCGTTAGAGCAATACAGAACCATGGCAAGGAAGCGCACGGGCCTCGAAGGTCCCCACCAGCGGCAGAGCGAGCGAGCGAGGGCTGAGGCTGCGGGCTGAGCCACATTGGTTGAATTGCACCTATGCATACACACGTAGATCAGCATACGCAAATGACGGGCAAAGCCAACTCATCCCCTTTGGGGGATGATACATTTCTTCTGCTTTGGTGGCTAATTCGTGGCCGTGTGACTCAGCCACTGCCAAACAGGAGTGTGGAAGGGACATCGCTCTGCAAAGCTCGGGGACGGGCTCGTGTCTGGAGGCAGGCGGAGCGAGCAATGCGGTCCTGCATCTCCTCACCGCGAGGGGGACCAGGCGACCGGGGAACCTGCCCCGTCTGCTGCTGCCTGGGGACCAGTGATGGGGAGAGCCAAGGCCCTTGGCCTTATGTATTTCTTTATTTATATTGCGATGTATATCCTGCCTTTTTCCTACCAAGGGCTCAAGGCAGCTGACATCATTCTCCTCCTCCATCTTATCCCCACAACAACAACCCTGTGAGGTAGGCTGGGCCGAGAGTCCGTGACTGGCCCAGAATCATCCAGTTGGCTCCATGGCCGAGCGGGGACTCGAACCCGGATCCTCTGAGCCCCAGTCCCGTGCTCTAACCACTGCGCCACACTAGCTCTTTGCCTGGCACTGCAAGACCAGGTGCGAGACGGACCTCTGGCTACCTGCCCTTCCTCTTCTGCCAGGGCCACCTGGCGGAAGGCCTTAAACAACTATCTTAATGTCCAGGTAGGTTCCTGCGGGTAACCTGCCCCGAGCTTTTTAGGGTGTTAAGAATTAAAGCACCTTGAATTGAGCTTGAAACTGACTAGCAACCAATGCAGGCGGAGAAACTGGGTAGCCCCACTGAGAGTATGGTCTGAAGCCACGTCAGGCATCCGCCATGCTGAAGCTAAGCAGGTCTGGAGTTGGCCTGGACTTGGAGGGGAGACCAGCAGGGGGCTGCATGTTGCCATTCATTCATTCATTCATACTGCGATTAATCTCCTGCCTTTTTCCTACAAAGGGCTCAAGGCAGCTTACAGCATTCTCCTCCTCCATCTTATCCCCACAACAACAGCCCTGTGAGGTAGGCTGGGCTCAGCGTCTGTGACTGGCCCAAAGTCACCCAGCAGGCTCCATGGCTGAGCGGGGACTAGAACCCAGGTCGTCTGAGTCCCAGTCCTGTGCTCTAACCACTGCACCACCCTGGCTCTTCTTCCCCCTCATGATTCTCTTTGGACTTCACCTGGACAGCCCCTCAAGTAGAGGACGGTCCTCCATAACACGGGACACACGCCCAACCTGTTCTCTTGGAGGTCCCTCCATGCTCGGCTGCATTGCTTGGCCTGAACGTGCATTTCAGTTCTTCCGAACGCAGGAGCGCATCCCTGTGGAGAGGAAGCGGCCAGCGCTGGTGGCGGCAGGGAGCGAGTCAAGAGGTCCTCAGCAGCCCCAGGAACATGAGCTGCCTCCCGCTGGCCTGGGGTGCCTCAGAGGCGACATGAGATTGCCAGCTTGGAATGCCTGGCAGGTGGTGGTCGCCTGATGCATACACAAGCCCTCCCTGCACATGAAGCTCCAGCACCTCAGCAGAAAGTACGAGCTAGAGTTTCTCCCTGCAATGCCCTTGGGGAGTGCTGACACCACACAGGCCCCGAAAGTGCTGCCTCAAATAGGGCGGGGAAAACCTGGCTGCTGGCTGGCCAAGGGGCTACCTTCAGGCAACCTTCCCCACGATCGTAGAAAGCCAAGCATGCCCCCCCGGAACAACAAGGCTTCCGTGCATGCGTGTGCACTGATCTTTGTCCATGCTAGAAATTCCTCAGAGAAAGCGGCTGCACTTCTTCCTCCCCCCGCAGCCCTGGCATCCTCTTCGGAGGATCTCTGTGAAAGGAGAAGTGCTCCTTACACAGCGGGAGAGACGTCTTCCACATGAGTGGCCGCCAGTGGCAGAGCCAGAAAGAGAGAAGCCGGCTCTTATTTTTGCAACATAATACGAGTGCCTCCCTGCACAATTCCAGGGAAACGAGAGCCACTTTGCGGGTCTGCCCAGAGGCTCTGGCGCACCGCTCGGCCCCTGCAACAAGGCGGGGGCTTGGGACGGAGCCGTTCGCACCTTCTTCCAGGTTCCTCGGCCGGAGCCCTGCCAGCCCCGGGGGGTGATGCAGTTGCAGAAGCAGCGCACAGAAGGCCTTCATCATCGGGTGGGCTTGGCTGACCTCGATTTTCAGGCAGTGGCAGTAAGTGCGGTAGCCTGGAAAGGTTGGGCGGGGGGGGGGGGGGGGTAGGGGAAAAGAGAGCAACAAAGCGGCAACGTCAGTGTGTGAAAATGATGTGTGCAGCAGAGCAAAAGCTGATGCCAGTGCAAAGAGCATCCATGTGCTGGAAGAGGAGGAGGAGGAGGAGGAGGAGGAGAGAAGCAGGAAGGGTGTCTTGCTTTGTACCATGCCTTGCTTCATTCACAATCTTTTTTGGAGGGGGCAGGGTCTAATTGCGACCTTCCTATGTTTCCCCTCTCGCTGCTTCTGCTTTTTCTCTTTGCCCAGCAGAACAGCTAAGAGAGCAAGACAGAATATCCGAGTAAAATATCCTTGCCCAGGGTGGTTCCAAAGAAAGCTGCCCCCTCGGACCTCGCAGCTGTATCCATATAGAAGTGTGTTTGTGTGCGTGTCAGGGTGTGACAGACATCAGAACACAAGACGTTCCGGCATGTTGTCACAACATCCAAAGCACACAGGAAGTTCTCTCAGATCTTGCCTGACTGTTCTTCCACCTCGCTCGCATCCACAGCCCACTTCTCTCAATATACAGCATTCCAAGCTAGAAAGCTCAGACCCTGAAGGTGAGCTAGATGATGAAGAGGAGGGTTGGAAGGTGCCACTGAAATGCCACGGGTACCAAGTGGCTGGTGAGACCCAGACTGCCTCTGGTTTGGGAAGAGGCACTGTAGAAGAAGGAAGGTCAGAAGGGAAGGGGTGTGAATTTATCAACACAGTGGCTCGTGGTCAAGCCAAACAAGCAAACCATTTAGCAATGTCTAGCATTCTTGCTGTCTGGCCCACCAGCAGCATGAACCTCCCTGAGGGTGGAGCCAACCCTTTTTGGGGGAAAAGGGACGAGAGGGCTTCGGTTTGGAATCAACTCCTGGCAAGGGCAAGAGAGAACTTCTCTAGTCAGAGAATCACTGCGTTGACAGATGCTATATATTACAGCTTTAGTATTACTCGCCACGGCAGGCAGGGCAGGAAGGAGTGGAGGGTTGCACCATGCTTACCTGGATCAAAGGCCTCAACACCGTGGCCTAGGAGGCTCTCATCCAACTGGCAAAAGTGGACGATGTTGTAAAGAGCAGACAGAACCATCCTCCAGACCCCGGCCAAAACCCCCACGAGCACATTGATCGGGAAGAGCAGGTATGTCACAAGGTACAGAGCTCGCCTGTGCAGAGGGAGAACAGCACCGGTCAGGATTAAGTCTTTCCTATTCATAAGGGGATCCTGCAATGAAATGCTGTGGATGTATATTACCACCCCGTACAGATAGGTCCCTCTTTAAGATTCCAGCTATGCCCTCTTTCTGGGCCACAGGCCCAAGGAAAACAGGGGAGCAGAAACATCTCGAGCAGATGCAGAAAGTCAAACCATGTTCGTGCTGGCCTGACATCAACAGGCAGGGAGTTCCATAAAGAGGGAGTCACAACAGAGAAGGGTCTGCTCTGGGTGACCTCCAGCGGTCGGCAGGCCCATGCGGAGCCACCAGGAAGAGGTCGTCTGAGGACCTCAGTCGCTGGGCAGGTGGTGAAGGTGACGCTGCTCTTTCAGCCACGTGCCTCCTGTGCACTTCCCCAGATAGATGCAATTCTGGAGGCATTCTTTCTGGGGAACTCTGCTGCGCAATTTGCAAAGGTGTGATTTCAAGGGATCTCTGTCTGGGTTTGCTTATCGTTCCCGCATGAAGAAGGTGGCAAGGCAGCTGCATTTCTACATCATTTCCTTCTGATTCTGCAGCCACTGCTTAACACCTGGCCGTAGGCGGTGGACTGTGGCATTCTAGGAAGCGGCGAAGCAGAGTTCACATGCCTGAAATCACCCCTTGTCCCTTCTAAGCAACTGCAAGAATTGTCATCTCTGCAGGAAGAAGAGGAAGAGGAAGAAGAGGAAGCCACCCATGGCGTGAGATTGCTCCAGTAAGATGCCAGCGCTTCTGGAACTCCTCACTGGCCATTATCTTCACAGAAGAATGGCAGGATCTTGTGGCCCCAACAGGCAAAGCCACCCAAGGCCATGCCGGCGCCATGCCGTTGTTCGGAGAGGATGCGTGTCCTAGGCAGTCACCTGTTGGTCAGCCCCTTGGGTGGGTGGCCACGCTCAAGGAAACAGTAGTGAGTCAACAGGTTCTGTGCAATCACAGCGGCCACCAAAGTCAGCCAGAAGGGCCTAGGGAAAAGCAGAAATAGACATGCCCGGTTTTACTTAGGGTAGTTACTCAGCGATCGGTTGAACCACTCATGCTGTCTTTCTCCAGTTGCAGGAGTTTAAGGGTTCAATTTTCCTGTTTAATTTGCTTCACTTCTTTAATGGAACGCGCACATGATTAAATGTCAAGATCATGTGTGAAGGATAGCCCTGCACGGAGACGGACGGACGGACGGACGGGGGCCATCGCAAGCGTTCTGGGAAGCGAAGGAGGCGGTCTCCTCAGGGCCTCCCCACCACTGGTTTTTCATGCGCATTCCCCGTGAATCAAGGGGTGAACTAAAGTGCACTCCACATCTACTCAGAAGTGCATCCCACTGAGTTGGGAGTTACTCACAAGTATGTCGGCACAGGATCGCAGCCTAAATCAGTTTCCACTTCATTATGGGCTGACTGTGTGTTTCCTACAGAAGCGACTAGTGGCGCTTAATTAATGGTGCAAGCAATCCAAACAATTTTGTTAAGTGCTTCTGTTGAGATGAAATATTTCCTCCGCGCTCATACCCAGACTTGTTTCCCCGAAACCCACAGTTTCCTGTGTTCCAATTAAGCCCCTTCTGGTGGTGCCTGCTACTTAATTAATTCCATTTCTATTCCACCCCAGTGCCAAAGCGCTGTTGGTGGTTCACAACAATCCAAACCGTAAAATACAACGTAAAGTACACCATGACAGTTTGAAAGTTTAAAAGCCTAAGGAAAAACCTCAAAGCGGTGCAAATATTTAAACTGCAGAAAGGCATTTTAAACAATAAACGGCCAGCCATTTGCTTTTAACATTCTTGCCGTCCTCTTTTGGACAAGCTGAATTTTACAGATTGTTTTCAGAGCGTGGAAAAGTGTCGTGTTAAAAGGACTCAACAGACAAACAAGGCAAATATGGGTGAAGGTAATGTTGAACTGGGAGGAAATGGTGCTGAACTGGTCTCCTCGCTCCGTATCCAAATGGCAAAGCTTCAGAGAGACAGCGTGGTGGTGGTGGCAAATTTCCAAGCTGGGGTCCCAGGGGGATCGCCTTCCCTCTCTGGGTGGGGGTGGGCCCAGGGGCCAGACTGCTCCCACAGACCCGCTGGCCACCTGGAGCATGCTGTGGGGGCGTGGCCTTGCTCAAAGCCCCTCCCCTCCCGTGCCATCACCACACCAAGCCACATTCCGGAGCTCCATGCCGCCCTGGGCCAAGAACCCGGCTCGGCTGGCGCTTTCTGGCCCTGCAAGCCCCAGCTCAGCTCTTCCCTCCCCATTCACTTCCTGATTCGGGAAGTAAGGCATGGACCTGGAGTGCTGGGCGGAGGTGCGTCCCAGTGCCAACTCCAAGCCTGGAGATACCCCAGGGATTCCTCTTCCTGGGTCTGGGCTGGAGGGTTCCCTCCAACGCCAGAGTGCAACACGCCCGGGCTCAATGCGCTCTTACCACATGTTGCCCATGATTCTGAAGAGGTGCATGTTGGTGCCGGACTGCAGGGGGATGGCCACCAGGAACGTGAAGCCCACGGCGCAGACGAAGAAGGCCACGTGCTGGACGAGCAGGCCTGGGACGGGGGGAGAGCGCACAGCCAGCTCGTTCCAAAGCAGGTAGTGATGATCCGGACGCCCCCCGCTGCTGCTTCCTCCCCTTCCCCTTCTCAGACAGCCACCTCCCTCGCTTCCTTCTCCTCCTCTGCTCTCCTCACCGCCGGGCCAGAGCGTGGTGAGGAGAAGGCGCCGCCCATCCCGGGAAGGGCCCTCGGCAGCTGCCCAGCCACGCTGACCCTTGGCGCCAGCCCTGCCCGCTAGCTCCATCCTCTGGCCTGGCCTGAGAACATCCGACAGGGCACGAGGACGCGCGGAGGGTTGCTTGAGCCTGCTGGGGACAGCAGCAGCCACGTCTCTCAGCAGCCAACAGCTTGCCCCCGAGAAGCCCACAGGCACACAAACCTGGGGGGATGCCCCCAGTCCAGGACCGAGACCCCCAGGATGGGCCAAATTCAGGCTGAGCATGCTCACTCCTCTGAAGCAGAAACCCGGCAGGAAGGAGGGAGGGCGGGAGGACTCACGGAGGGGATTATCCCGGGAAAGAGCTTGTCCCCCTGGCTATACGGAACACGCTAAGCTGCCACTTTCTGCCGCAGAGCCCTCTAGCTCACGCCGACGGCGAGTCCTCCCTTGCTTCTTAGCTCGCCCTTCTGATCGCCCTGCTCCTCTCGCCCCCAGAGGCCTGATCTTATAATTACCCAAGCAGGCAAAGGCCGCCTGGAAGCCCACAAAACACATCCAGCACACAAGGGCTTGCTGGGAAGGCCGCAGTTTCCGGGGACGGTGGAACACTTCCGCGACTGCCCCACGGTAGAGACGCTGCAGGTTGATCCTGGAAGCAGCGAGAGGGAGAAGCTGGGAAGGGGCGCGAGCAAGTGCAATGCAGGAGCGGGTCTGGGGGCCTGGAAAATGGGGCTGGGAGCAGCAGCGGCAGTGGGCCGGTGGCCCCCCGCCACCTGGGACGTTCCCTCCGATCCGGATCTGCAGGCTGGGCGTGCCAATCCTCGGCAGATCGAAAACCGGGCTGCCCCAGAGCAAGGGGGAGGCAGCGGCTTTGTCAAGGCAGAGATGAGCTTCAGTGGAGGGGGAAGCTCCCCGTCCGAGCATCCTCAGGGGCCGGATGGACCGCCGAGGGAGGGGATGGAAAATGGGCCGGGGACGAGATGAGGCACGGCCTGGACCGGCCGGCATCCCCAGATGGTGCCTTCCACGCCACAGCTGCTTCTTGCGGGCCTCACTCACAATGCTTTTTGGGGGACGATGGGAGACAGAAATGGGCATTCTCACCGGTGCTTCACCATGGACTTCATCAACATGCAGAAGGTCAGCAGGCAGGAGGCGACCAGGGAAGAGACGAAGCACACTGCAGGAAATGGGAACGTGCGGGTATCAGTTATCCCAAGCAGCAAAGGAGTCCTGGACTCGCACCGCAAAGCAGAGGCGCAGAGAAAGCTCCCCTGGGTGAACCCTGGCCAGGTTTCAGGCAGCAGGTTTTCCAGTCCCTTTGGGGCGCACTGGTCCACCGTCACTGGAGCAACGCTGCCAGGCTGGATTGCAGGAGCTGTCCGTGGTGCTGAACCATAAGCTCCCGGTTGATTCCGCAGAGCTGAATCCCAAAGACATCAGAGCGAAAGCTGGGGTGGAAAGGCCACTGCATGGACTCTGCACTGCCAACACCCCCCCACTCCATCTCTCTCCCTCTCTCTCTCTCTCACACACACACACACCCCAGCACTTTGCAAGAAATCACACCCAACCAGAGGGGTCTGCAGGTCAGAGCAGAAGACTGTCTCTTTCCTTATCCCCCACATCAACTTTTCTCCCTGCACTGAGATGGAAGTACAAACAAGAAGACAGGGGAGAGACCATCTCTCTTCCTCCTTTGCCCAGATCTCCTTCGTCTTCCTCCCTCCAAGGTGGGGCTACAGCACGTGGTGTGGAGATGACCCCATATCGATTTAGTCTTCTGGGTCGCAAAACACCCTGTCCACGGGTCAAAGCTGCCCGTTGCATTTTTCTCGAATGCGCTATTTCAAAGAAACAAATGCACCCATTTAAGCTTTGCGGAGGCACCCCTGCAGAAGGGCAGTGGCACCGGTGGGGCCGTTTGGGCACCCTGAACGAAGACGCAGCCGGCAGAGAAAGCGAGCACCCTTCCCTTGCAGAGGTGCACTTCCCGCTGCCGGAGGAGACGGGCCAGTCTCGGAAGGAGGTGCCAGAATCAGCAGTCCATCTGCCCACCTGCATTTCCGCCTGGGCCTTTGTAGTTCCTCTCACTTGGCGCCATCTGCTCAAATTCGCGAGATCTCTGAAGTCTTTTTGAATTGCCAGGATTTGTGCAATGGGGGGGGGACGGGGGGGGGGACGGACAATGACTATTGGCTACATCCCCCCCTTCGGTTCTTGGCATCTACTGTGTGTGCTGGCTGGCACATGGCCCAGCCTTGCAAATATGTAAATAAATAAATTAAACTGGGGCATACTTCACTAAGCTGCTTTCCAAAAGCAACTCCCAAATCCAGATCTAGCATTCTATGGGTTACAAGAGCTTTTGCACACAAAGCATCAAAGCAGAATGTCCTTTGTCCTTCTCACGGGGCCTTAGAAAATGCCTGCACTTCTAAATGCAAAGAACCCTAAATGCCCATGACCCCAAGTTCCAGAAGAGCCTCCTCTTCAGACACAAGGACTAGAAACTTAGGATTTCAACAATACCAATAAAACATTTTGGCAGCAGGTGAGTGAAGAAATATGCCTTTGGATCAGTGTTAATTTTGGCTTTCTTCTTGTCAGAAAAAACCTATCCAGGCAAAGAGAGAACCCCGAAAGCATGGTTTTATTATGCAGCCTGGTCTGCCGCAGCCTCATGCAAAAGCATCATATTTTGATCATTTTGGTGTAAAGCAATTGCACAGAATGAGAGACTTCCAGTGGAAACTGCAGAATCTGTCGTATGAGTGCTCCCTCTTAAAATAGAACAATTTTTTCAATAACTTTGTCCCCCCAAATGCTACAGAAATAACAGGTGGTAGTTGGAACTGCTAGATCCTAAGCAGATTAATTCTAGGGGATTTTGCAGAACTTGGCAGCCAATAGGAAGTGGAATTAGTTTTTCATCTGTAAAAAGGAATTCCATAGCTCAGCACACCTGGGGGAGAAACGTTACTTCAGTTTAATCGTGGGAAACTAAATGCTGGTCCATCATGATTTGATAAAAGGGGAACATAGGATAAAAAGACCCAGAGAGGTCTGAGAACTTTCCCCAGTAATGGGAGAAACAGGAAAAAGTGGTCTGTATAATTGGACGGAATGCAGTGAAATATGGCATAACAGAGGAAGTTGTGGCTTGTATAGTGCATAATTCAGTTAGTGGATTCGAACCGAAATGCGCTGCAATCACGGCCTGCGTTGTGATTCCATATAAGTACAGGCAACACGGCTGCGCACTTTAGCATGGCTGGCAGTGAGTTCAGTCGCTGCTGCTGGGCAGGCCCAAGGCCTTTCGTTGCCCGAGGCAAAGGACGGGACGGTGCGCCCGTCCGTTCCGGGCCCAAGAATGACCTGGACTGACACTGGAGTCGCATCACTGCGGCACACCTGCGGGAAGCCGGCGCCTTTAGGGCGTGCAGGACAGGTTGCGACCTGCAGCTTTGCCTCGCCAGAGGGTGCGATGGCCGGGCTGATGGCCCCGAGCAGCTGCCCTGTCGCTTCACTTTGCCTAATGATAGAGCCAGCCTGGCGCCCCGGTCCTTCGCCGTTGCGTCGTCGCTTACTTTGGGGCCAGAAGGAGCGGGAAGAGCAGAGAGGCAAGAGGCTCTGGCAAGCGGGCCCACCAGCTGAGGTGCAGGCCGTCTGGTTCTTCCCTGAGCTATGATTCTCAGCACAGGGGGCCAAAGACAAGCAGGCCCTGCACATTTCACACGCACATCCCGTCTGGACCACGTAACACGTCTGTGTCCCTCTGGGCTCGCTGAACTCTGGGACGCTCTCCAGTCTGGGTCCCCCAAGCAGAGAGACCGAACCCGCGAGACAGCAGCCAAGCACGCTCACCTTCCAGGGACCAGATGTAGTGCTTCAGCGTCTCCAGCTCCTTGTCTCCAGGGATTCCCGCCGGATTTTCAGCTGGGACAATGCCGAACTGGACGAAGAGGGCGGTCAGCTCCTTCGTCATCCCTGACCTGATGATCTGGATGTGGGGGACGAATGCCACCAGCAACAGGAGGGCCACCTGCGAACCAAGAAATTGCAGGTGAGGCCGGTCCATCACCTGGACGCCTGGAGGCAAAGCCCATATTCCGGTTACCTGATAGACGGCTATCACGGCCACGGCCTGCGACAGCAGCAGCTTCAGGGGGATCTGGAACCCTGGAAGCCAGAATCACAGGTAGGTATTGGTAAGCACAGGAGGAAGGGCTCACCTACGATCTTCCAAAACATCTTGCAGCTCATGGCCCAGTCCATAAATTCATGCCCACCTGGGCATCTCCTCTCAATCAGCATCTCCTCTTTTCTACAGCTGCACAGGGAAGAGCAGAATTCTGACCCAGGCAATTGTCGCATGCAACCAAGGACATGTCCAAAGATCCGTGGAACACCCCCCCCCCCGTTTATATATTATTTATTTATTGCATTTGTAGGCTGCCCCAGAGCCAGAGGCTCACATATGGCAACTTATGGGAAGATGCATTGGGTTCATATGCATACTCTTCTCCATATATCTGCATCCCTCTTTTCTGAATTCCTGCTATTTTTTTTTAATTGGTTTGTAGCAGATATGGAAAACAATGTATCGGCTTGCAAATTAACTGTTTCAATGTTTTTATCGCTGTAAACTGGCTAGAGATTTTCTGTGGATAGACAGACTGCACAGAAAAGCTTTAAATAAATAAATAAATGGAAACACGGAGAAGAAGCATTGGGAAAAACAGAAGCGTATGGGGAAAGAAGCAATATGGCCTGGTTCAGCATACTTGCGTTGACTAAGTCAAATGACTCTCACGCAAGCTGCAACTAAACTACACCGAGCGTTTCAGCTACGAAGCGGTGTAGAAGTTAAATAAACAGAGGGATCCTGCTGGCCGGAGAAAAAGGCCAAGTCAACACGGAGGCTGCAAGATGCACGGCGGACCCATGTGGTTCAGGACAGCCGTGGAGTGGGCCGGAAATGCTCGTCCATGCAGAGCGAGAAGAGAAAGCATCGCTCTTGCTTTGACCTGACACTTAGTGTGCTGCTTAAGTGGCAAGGAGGAGACGGGGCAGGGAGGGGTAAGACCTCTGCCAAGAGAAGCCCCTTTTGCTGTCGCTGAAACACACCCACGTTCCAGAACAAGGAGGAAGAGGCGGCGAAGGGACAGGTGGCGAAGGGAATGCCAAGCTAGCAATCAAGAGCTGTTTGTCTGGTACCTTCCTGGGGTGTGTAGATGTAAGATCGCAAGTAGGCCTGGAGTCTCGAAAGGACGCTCGGCTTGCCTTTGCTGGTGCTGGAAGAGAGAAAAAGAAGGGGAAATGCGGACCCTGGAAGGTTGCAGGGTTGGTTGCTGAGAAGGGAAAGGGTCACACCTCCTGCCTGCTTAGTCATGTCCGGCTGGTCCTTCTCCTCCGAGTAGCTGCCCCTCCATGCTCAAGGGCCAGCACAGCAGCCTTTTATCCTCACCCACCCCCCTGTTGTGTGGACACACCTGGGACAGAACGGAGGCGAGAAGGTGGTTCAGGCCTCACCTTATCTTGGGTGCTCTTCTAGCCAGGACATTCTTCAGGTAGTCCTTGTAATAGTCACTTCCAGGTACCTTAAAAGAGAAGAATACCGTCTTCAGACATAATCGGACTCCATATTCAGCAAGGTCGTGGCGTGGACTTTCACAACCATGCTTTGCATCAGGAGACGCTCAAATTATGGTGGGAAAAGTAAAAGTATCGAAGCCTTAAAGGCATTAAGTCCATAAAATCGGACTCCTCTGTATTTTAGCAGGTGGTGTCACAGCAGCCCTTCAAAAACAGGGTCAAAGACATCCCAAAAGAAAGGGCCGGGCCGGGAGATGTTTTGGGCTTCAACTCCCAGCTTTCCTGACCACTGGCCGTTCGGGCAGGAGCTTCCGGCAACGGACATCCAAACCATCTGGAAATCCACATTTGCCTGCCCTGGTATTTGGCTCCAACATCAGGGCTGTGCTGCACATTGAAAGAAACTGGCGTAAATGTGAACTAGGAAGAGAGCCAGTGTGGCGCAGTGGTTAAGAGCACGGGACTGGGACCCAGATGATCCGGGTTCGAGTCCCCGCTCAGCCATGGAGCCAACTGGGTGACTTCGGGCCAGTCACAGATGCTCAGCCCAACCTACCTCACAGGGTTGTTGTTGTGGGGATAAGATGGAGGAGGAGATGTAAGCTGCCTTGAGAAAAAGGCAGGATATCAATCAATCAATCAATCAATCAATCAATGCACTGACTTTGCAATACGAATGATTACGAGATGCTTAAATCCAGGTGCCCCGATCTCTTTGGACCCTTGGTCCACGTGGCGCTTGAGCACTGCTGTGGCCTTCAGTGCAGAACGAGTTCCTCGGCTCTTCTCTGTTCTAGGCGCTCCTTGTTGCCGCTATGGATCGTCAGCAAAAATCTTTGTTTCACGCTTGGTGGGCCATGCCGGGTCTCTTTACTAAGATATCGTTGAATGTGGCTAATTTCTAGCAGTAATACAGCTAATGTTTCTTTTTAATGTATATCTAGGCAATATCTAGTATCTGCTTTTTTGGGAAGGAGATTATCTTACTGTTCATTTTATACTGGAACTCAATATTTGCTGATCCACACTCTTATGCCATTGGTCTGCTTCATGGAAATTAATGGCCACTGAAGATGAATTCTCTGCAGATTTTGACAGCTAAGAGACTGACATTACAGCAGTGGAAGGATATATGCTCCCCTCCCATAATGTGGAGACTTGCGGACCGTATGAAGCTTTCAGCATCTGAATGGATGTTGAATCAATGCCAAGGTCAAATGGATGCTTATTTGGAAATCTAGTCCACAATCGCTGAAGACTCTCCATCATTGCTAGACAGTTGTGTGTGTGTGTACGCGCATGTACGTTCATGCATTTTATATCTCTCCATCGCCACGTGCAAATCCCCACACAGAACAGTTCTAACAAATTATTTCCTTTATTTCATTTCTGCTCCATCCCATAGTCGAAACTCTTCCTCAGGGACTCTGCAGGACCTGATTCAGCTCTGGGTCTAACGGAGGGCCCTGTGGCCCATTGAACCCGGAGCCGGTCCTGCAGGGAGGAACACAAGATGCCTTATCTGGAGTCAGGCCACTGGTCCATCTAGCCCAGTATGGTCGACACTGACTGGCAGCAGCAGGATTCCTTCCTGGTCCAGCCTGGAAATGTTGCATCCATAGCCTCCTACCACTGAGGTATAGCGACTCTACATAACCCAAGCATCTGCTTGCCACTGGATAGCAGTGCTGGAGTTCTGTCTTGCACCCAATGGACACAATCCTGCCAGAAGACCAGATTTATTTATTTATCTATCTATCTGGAATATTTTTATCCCATCCTACAGAGTCCAACTGTCCCAGGATAGCTTGCAATATAAATTAACAATAAATACGCAAACAATCCAAAAATACAGTAACAAAATGCGACTGAGAATATAATAAAACCAGATTAAAATGTTTTAAACCTTAAAATTTTGGGTGAATGAAAAGGTTTTCACCTGGCGCCGAAAAGAATATAAAGTCGGCGCCAGGCAGACCTCTCTGGGGAGCGCATTCCACAGCCGGGGCGCCACCACAGAGAAGGCCCTCCTCCGGGGGCTCTGCCTCCTAATGTCTTTCACGGAGGGCTCCCGGAGAAGGGCCTCTGCTGCAGATCTTAGGGGGCAGGGGGGGGCATATAAGGAAAAAGACATTCCTTCAGGTGCCCTGGTCCCAAGCCATTTAGGGCTGTATAGGTCCATGCCAGCACCTTAGGTTGGGCCCAGACTTCAACTGGGAGCCAGTGAAGCCGACAGAGGACTGGCGTTATATGAGAATAGACTTTCCGACCGTTCCTCTTGCATTCTCAATTTGCTTCAAAAGGAAAAAGAGAACAAGCACGCCTGATTCACACCCCCTCCGTAGAACCTCTTGCATAATTTCCATCTGCCCTGTCAGCCACGGGAACCGTTGTAGACGTGCTAATTGCGTGGCTACAGACGTTTGGTGTAAGAGGACACAGTTATCGGGGGGCTTGTCAGCAGGAGGTTTGGGGGACCCAGCTGGAGTGCGGAGAAAGGGTGCGAAGCATCAGAAGCAGGGTAGAAAGAACATTCTGTTCACAAAGACAGAAAAGCAACTCCTTATCCCAGCGTTGTGTAAACAGGCGGATTTGGCTAAACCTTAAATACCCCATGCAGATTTCTGTGTTTAAGGACCAGGCATTTGTGCGTCTATTGTTCTTTAAGAGAAGCCGAGAGGGAAGGTTCTTTCTAAAAAGGAAGATCAGAGTGCCAGCCATCGGGATTATGGTGCCCCTGCCAACCCTCTCCCCCACCTCCCCATTTAGCAACACAGTAAGACATCAGTTCTCTTCTGAATGGGGAACATTGACGATCAAATCTTCTTGTGCTGACATCTAAGGGGTTTACAAGATGCACATAAAGGAGTGCATTCTCTTTTGACATCAGAAATGTGGAGTGGGTTTTTTTTTAAACCAAACTGTCTTTCCCACACTCCTTCAAGTGCTCTTTGGCTGTAGGTGAACTCAGCCACTTTGGTCGCCAAGAGGCAGGGCAGGGGGACTCGGTGCAGAAAAATTCACCTGACGGGTGTGGATTAGAGCAGCTAAAAGAAGAAGGACAGACTCAAATGCACACCTGTGTCCCTGCTTAGAAATAAACCTGACTGAAGCTAACGGGGTTTGCTCTCAGGTTACTGCAGAAAAGGACTCCAGTGCCCATTTTCACCCATGCCTACCATGGAATCTCTTCCTGCCCACCCTAAGGAAGGGTGAGGATTTTGTAAAGTCCATCTTCAGTACGAACACACATTATTTTTTCATGCACAGGCTGGAAAAATCCTTGAGATTAAAACAGAAAATGTGCAGAAGGACCAAAGTGACTGATGCCACAAACCAGGTGGAGGGTTCTGGGTGCTCCTCTGAGAGGCCTGACTTGAAATCCTGAATTACAATTTGGGCCTCCGACTCGTCCGTTTTCCTGACTGGCCCAACAGCTGCCAGGCGCAGCCCGGTCCTCCCCATGCTCGGAACACCTGCAGCTATTGAATCTGGCTGGTGCAAATAGGTGAGAGCTTTGATCAGTTTTTGAAGAGGCAGGACCAAAATCAGCAAAATTTCATCCTCCACAAAAGCGGTTTTTTTAACGTTGAATTTGGGAGCAAGTCAAGCAGGTGTGACCCTCCATTCCTCGGCGAGAGGCTACATGCATGGGTCAGAAATGAGCAGACACGTGGCTTTTTGTATGTTTTCTGCCTGTTTCTAGGATGTGCCTTCTCTGTCCAAGTTGGCCTATATTCTGTTTGGGAACACAGAGTAAGGCTGAGTCCTTCGGCTGCGTAAGGACTCAGGCTTGGGACATCGATGAGCTGCCAGCTCCTCTCCAGAGCTTTCCCAGTCCTAGCCAGACATCGGGGATCGAACGTGGGCCCCCCAGTCTGCAAAGCAAGGGCTATACCGCTGAGCCAGCCTCCCCCTAAACCATCCACCCAGTTGCTTCGCATTGCCTGGCTCTCACACAAATGCAAGCACAGCTCATGCAGAAAAGAACGAAGCCCACAGCAGGGAGGGACAAAAGCGAGCGAGAGGCGCCACCACCAATTGCTCCGTGCTACTTCTTGATGGAGGGGAAACGCAGGGAAAATAAAGCTAATATGAAAATCCCCTTGACTGGCATTTTGAAAACCCGCATGTGGCTGCACGGCACCTTGGCATTTCGAGCCCTGCCAATTGGCTGGGTTCTGTTCCCCGTTTCTATACAGTATCCTCGAGCGTTTGTGCTCAGTCCAAGATCTTTCTGATATTTACGATGATACATATAATTTGCACCTGCTTCGCGATGGAAACAGTTGGGAGTCGGAAACATTAGGCAGGGCCACATGCTCAAGTGCTAATATCAAGTCTCCGTTCACCATCTCGCCATCCCTGCCTCTCTCTCCTCCAAGAAGTGGGAGAAGGAAGCCGAGGGAATGTGCACCACGCTCATCTTGCTGCCACATTATTCTTGCACAGGCTGCAAGCAGAGCAGAGCTTGAAAAATCAGGCCTGTCTTTGGGCAATGACACCCACTCTGGGGGAGTTCCTGGGGGCTGCGTTCCAGCTGTGGGGGGGGGCTGAAGGCAGGACCCCCTTTCCCGTGAAACCCCCTTTCCAGGGATCGGGCCCTGGGTGATCCGGCAAGTGCCTGCAAAACCAGAAGCACCCTTGCAGGGAGCAAGCGGAGAGCCATTAACTAAGCTGCCCGCTTTGCTCCTGCCCGCAATCGACCCAACGCACCGCACCCGGCCGACCTGCTCCTTGCACATATATTCCGTCGCCATGGCTGGAAGCGCCTCTTAGCTTAAAGCTTTTGCTGCACTTGCTGAGCTGTAGCAAGCAAAGCCGGGAGACCAGCAGACCTTCGGTGGCTAGGAGAAAGGGAGCGGGGGGGAAGCTGATGTGGGGGGGCCCAGGCGTGAGGTTTCGCACCCCGATGTAGGGATAGCATGCATGGGAAGCTTGGAGGGTTCCTCGAGAGAACGGCCACGTCTTAGAAGCTGCAGCGGAGGGAATGGCCATCGAGATCACAGAATGCCGAAGCTCTCTGCAGAAAGTCCGGGGTTCAAGCTCCAACTAGCAGGGCAGGAAGCAAAAGCAGAGCATGCCTCCACCAGCAGGGGGAGCCACCTCCTGAGTGGGAAACTCTGCCCAGGGCTGGAATGTGGGGCTGGCTGGCTTCCCTGGTTGGTGCTGAAAGCAGGGGCTGGAAGTTTGGGCTGGGACTCAGGGGATCCGGCTTCTAGTCCCTGCTCAGGCCAAGGAACCTCACGGGGGACCTTGGGGCAACTGCAAACTGGCTGCCTCGCTTACCCGCAGGGCTGTTGTGAGGATCAAAGGGAGGAAGGGGACTGTCTGGGCCATTTTGTGTTCTTTGCAAGAGGGGAAAAGTGGGAGATAAATAAATAGCGGCCCAGCCAAAGCGCATTGCACATTACATCTCCTGTGCCAGGAATGAAGGCTTGAGGGGACTAGTTTTACTCCTATTGTTCAGCAAATTGGGGAATAGGAGGAAAAAGATGGCATTGTTCCACCTCTGGCAGGTGCTGTCTTTGCAGCAACTCTATAACTTGGTGTATGATGTTGAAATGCGTTACCTGAGAAAACCTTTGGGTTATGGGTCGGCACAGAAATGGAATGAAATAATGCATAATAAATAAATAAATTACCTTCTCATAAGCCATCCTCTCCTTCTGTCTGAGGCTTTTGACAAGCTGCGCTGGATACCAAAGGCTCAGAATCACAAGGCACAGGATGATGGGGAGATAAGAAAGCAGGGAATAGTACCTATAGATCTGAGATAAAATTTTAAGTAATCAGCATAATAGAAGGGGACTTTTGGTTAGAACAAGTCTACACAGAGCCATTTATATGAATTTTTCATCGTCTCACTATAGCTCCCAATGCTATGCAGAGGTTGCATCTTGATCCCAGGACATGCAAATGTGATCGCCCTGGGTGATCAGAATTCTCTTCAAGGCAACCAGATTTGTGGATGAATGCAAATCAGGAGAAACGCCCACCCTTGTCAGAGTTTTCTGTGAATTGTGGAGAACTCAGGGGAAGAAAGGGCTCAGGGGAAGGGGCTCTCAAAACGGGGCAAGTTTGGGCTTGCACTTTCTCTTCCTTGGGCTTTGAAGAGTCATCCGGAAGGGACAAGAATCTCAAAAACCCCCTTCCTCAAATCCTCTTGCAGGCAGAGGGGTGGCAGTAGTGGGCAACTGATTCCTCCTACTTCAGACCTTTGGAGGCATCTGGAAGTAGGGTGTGGAGTGAATTCTGTTGGGTCCATGCTTGTAAGTGAACAAACGTTAACGTTTTTGCACTTCTAATATGTAGATCAGAACAATTACCCTTTAGACACACTTTGCATTTTGTGATGCTGTCCTCAGCTCACAAATTGCCTGCTGAAGAGGCAAGTTTTTGTGCAGCTGCAAAGTACACACAATTTAGGACCAACTGCATGGGAAAGCACGTGATTTTATAGGAGTTGCAATGAGCAAGGCTTGTCCGTGTTAAAGGTAAAGGTTTCCCCTTGACGGTAAGTCCAGTCATGCCTGACTCCAGGGGCGGTGCTCACCTCCGTTTCCCAGCCGAGGGAGCCAGCGCTTGTCCGCAGATGGTCTCCGTGGCCACGTGGCCGGCATGGCTAAACACTGAAGTGCACAGGACGCTGTGACCTGCCCACCGAAGTGGCGCCTTTTCATCTACTTGCATTTGCATGCTTTGAACTGCAAGGCTGGCAGGAGGTGGGATGGAGCAACGGGAGCTCACCCCACTGTGCAGGTTCGAACCGGCGACCTTTCGCTCAACCAGCCCAGCAGCACAGCGGTTTAGACCACTGCGCCACCTGCGGGGTAAATGAGCTTCCCCACATCTCCTTGGCACGTGAACTTGCACTGGGCCTTAAGCCCCAGGGCGCTTGGGGTGCCTTCTTGCCCTGCAAGACGGGGCATCCTGCTGGGCCTTCAGAGCGAGGGACCAGCCTGAGCCCGGGTGCAGGCAGCAAATAAGACCTGAGCAGAAAGCCGCAGCCCTTGGGATCCCACCCCCAGTTCGCCCCTTCCTTGTTGCTGAGGGGGCTGCCTGAGCATGCAGTGGGCTTAATCCGCTTTCACCACCCTGGGGCCTTCCAGACACGCTTGGCCTGCAACACCCAGAATTCCCAGTCCAGGGCCCTGCTGGATGGGAATTCTGGGAGCTGCGGTCCAAACGCCTCTGAAGGCCACCAGGTTGGGGAAGGCTGGTCTTACGGCCAGGCTTCTGTGGGGTTTGCACATGCGAAGTTCTCCATAAGCTCCGGGCAGCAGAAGCGTTTTGGCTCCAAAGCAGAAGATGTTCCCTCCCGGCCCATCCAAGCTTTCCCTGCAGTGATCTTTGAAACAGGAGCAGCCCCCACGCTCTCAGGAAGACCTTCCAAGCCGCCAGCTGGCCGTGTCCCTGCAGGGTTCGCTCCCGGCCCTCTCCTGCGCTTGCAGGGTCCAGCCCTGGGGCTGCGCATGCGAAGTGGCCTCAACAGCCGAGCGCAGCCCCGGCAACGATGCGACGAGCGCGCCTTTACCTTGGCCGACTGGGGGCATTCCACCTTCTGCCAGAGGAGGACCAGGCAGTGGCTCCAGGCCAGCAAGCAGCCAAGAAAGTAGCCGGCTCGGTGTCGGAGCTTGGCACATGCGATTAAGGGGTAGTAGAAGGCGGGGTAATAGAGCAAAGCCATGATCTTCCAGTACTCTGGAGAGAGGGAGATCAAGGGGGAAGAGAAGGGCGACGGATAAGAGCCGGAGCCAAGCAGCCGTGCCATAATAAGCATGCAGGGCAACCCCCGCCCTGCCAGAGAGCCCACGTCCAGGCAGGAGCTCCCGTCCCGGCTGGCGGGGGTTGGATCGCAAAACAGAAGGGAGGATGGCATCTAGGAAAGGGAACCCGGACGCCTGGGGCCGCTCTCCGCTTACGAACGGCGGGCGCGCCTTCCGTGCATCCGCGAGCAGCAAGGTCCTTGGGCAGGCCTCTCCACCAGGGTGCCTGCGAAGGGGATCTCCGCACTCCGAGGCAACCAACCTACGCGGGACACCGGTGGGAGGGGTGGCGGGGAAGGGCGGCTGCCTTCACGCCCCTTTGGGGGGCTCCTTGGAGACCTCTGGTTGGCCGCCATGTGGATGCTGAGGAGCTGGAGCTGGAGCTGGTCCGGTGGGACACTCGCAGGCGTCTCACGCTCCTTCGTGCGGGTCTAGAACATGGTGCTGATGGGCACCAAAGTGCCCAGAGACGCCTCTAGTTTCTTAAGCGCGCGCGCGCGCTCTCTCTCTCTCTCTCTCTCTCTCTCTCTCTCTCTCTCTCTCACACACACACACACACACACACACACACACACACATTGCAAAGCAAGGCACTGGCTTCCAGGGCCATCTTTACCCGCACTGAAACAAGTGTCTTTGAGTTTTGGCGCTCAGACCCTACTTCTGGCTCTCTGGCAAGCTCAGACACCACGTGCGTTTAGACAGGAAAAAGGCCTTCCACTGCCGGCTGACCCCAGCCAGCACAGGGCCACACACCGACCTTTCACCAACGGCAGGCAGCCTTTTACGAATGGGCCACTGCCCGTTCGTGCAGTTATTTTGTAAGAACGTCCATGACACGCTCCCAAAATTTGAAATCTGCCCACTGAGCCAACAGTGCTGGGAGCCGCTGGATGGACGCCACGTTTTGCCCTCGGAAGTCTTTGACATGGCGGGAGGCACATGCGCACATGCGAAACAATGGTGCGCTCCTGCAATGACGCGTCAGAGTCTTCCTCTACCCCCGCACAGACAAACCCTTGGCAATACCTCGGTTCTCTGCTGCAGAGTTGGCAACGAAGGGCAGAGGGTCACTATCGAGAACCAGCACACTTAAGGAGGAGAAGAGGATGCCAAACACCGCTACGGCCGGGACCCTGTTCCCGTCTTCTTCCAAGAAATTCACGGGGCTGCAGCAACCGGGAGAGCAGAAAGACTGGAATGAGAAAAAGAAAAGGCACCATCCTCACCAGTGGGAGAAAGGCCTTTAATGGCGCTGTGTCAAATCAGCGGAGCTTTTGATCGGTCTCCATCAGTCGGATAGAAAATGCATGGCTACCCATTTTTTACAAGAAAAATAAACTTTTGGTGAAATTCTCCTCTTTGAACTTTAGTTACATGAAGGCTGAGCTGTGTGTGTGTGTGTGTGAGTGTGTGCACAAGAGGGAGAGAGACTTGTCATTCGCTGGACAACAATCTCCTGGGTTGTCTGCAGCACCCCCGGCTGCCCACACTTTGATTGCAGCCATAGGGAAGATGTCATGGGCCTTTTTCGCATTGGGAGGCGTGGGCAGCCAAGGTGGCTGCAGAGCAAAGGAGAGATGCATCGTGGGAAGAAAACGGCAACACGCAGGACCTTTGGTGGCCTCGGTGAGAAAACATCCTTGAAAACAACCAGCCAAAGGGAGTGAAAAAGAAAACTTGATGTCCCCTTGGAACGACGTAGAAAATTGAATGTGTGAACCATGGCAACTGAGAGTCCCGCTGGATTGGCCCCACTCCCTCCAGGAGATGAGAAGTTCTGCAGGGCGCCTCTGCTAGTTGTGCCAAAAGTCCGTTTATTTTTTCCTCTTGCCTCCCCACCCCTATTTCCTTGTGTGTCATTTTTTTTATGTTTCATTCTTTTCTCTTTCCTGACTTGATCGTGAGCTTTCCCTCCCTGCAGCAAGTCTATTTAGGTCCTACAGGTCTGATTGATCTGCTTAGATCCGATCATTTCTGCATAATTTATTCTCTGCAGAATAAATTCCCCCTTAGATTAGGCATTTTACTATAAAGACCCCCCACAGTCCCATCCTGGCAACGGAAAGCACTTAGACCGGCTTCAGGCTCTGGAAACATTTCCAGATAAATCGTTCAGCCATTTCTCCACCTGCTTAGACTGGTATCTGTCCTTGAAAATGTTTCGGGCGAAATTCTGCACCTATTTCTCCAGGGCAAGGACTAGAAAGGGGAGAAAAGGTCCAAGAGCAAGCGAATACTCGGCCAGCCTCCACAGCTAAGCGAAATCCAAATAATCTACTCCAAGCGGTACCTCAGCAGCCCGGGAGCAACATCCCAACAACTCTTACAGAGTTTCTTCCGTTTCACCAGCAGAGAGAGAAGCAGCAACAGGGCCAGCTGTGAGAAAGAAAGTTTACGGTCGGTGAGGGACACGTCTCCACAGGCCGTTCTATAAGCCATTTCGAGTTCTTGAGCATCAAGTAACATTCAAATACATATGCAAGCGCCCAACTCCATTTGGCCTCGGTATGAGAAAGGGCGCCCAATAGGTCACCCGAACGAACTGCACGGCTGTTCCCGGGCTGTCATATAACCCCGTTTTCTCTCCGGGGGAACTCAAAGCAGAATACGTCGGGCAGGGGCGATGCTAGGCCTTGTCAATGGGCCCTTTGCCCCAAGAATATTTCCCAAGGCCCTGGACTGATTCCTCAGAGACCCCTGTGCCAAAAGCAGTATTCCTCCACTGAATTGCTCTGAATTTTCAATGGGGAGGGCGGCTGGAGAGGAAAGGCCAATATCCTATTTGCTTATATGGGAAGATGGCCGTATTGTACTCTGCCTGTCCAGCACACAACATCCTAGCGCAGGCACCAGCACCGGCCCTGGATCCCTTTAAAAACCCCGGTGATGCTACTTCAGCGAGTCACCAGCTCCCTGACCTGTTCTTGCCCCAGGGCTGGGAAGCCAACACAAGGGGGGGGGGCAATTGTGTTCATTTCTGGGGGCTTCCTCATTTATTACTGCAGAAAGAGGATGCCGTTCACACGGCGGGAGGGAGAAACCCGTTCCGTTTGCCATTCAGTGTGAACTCAGCAAGTCTGCAGGTCACAAACCAACATGCTAACTGGAAAGCACTTTACCACGGGAATAACAATAATAAAGAACACACAAAAATAGGCACACAAATGCACCGCAACTTTCCATTCACTAGAGAGCACACATCCAAAAATGCTCATTTTATTTTCATGAGGACCAGCCTCTTGATCTGATTTACCTGTCTCTATGCAGACTGAATAGACATTGGGCCTGACCGACTGAATTCTTGAATCAGTAGCCTATTCTTCACCACCAGCCATGCCTTTCCCTACATCATCTGTATAATCAAGGAACAGATTTGCAACAAGACGATCGAACTAATTAACAAGACATTTTAGTGTAGCTTGCCGGGTGCACGGACATTGCAGTCAAGCAAAGTTAACGATGCATCGGCTGATACACCAATTAGTCAGAGCTCCTCTGCCTCTCCTTCCACGTCACCACACCGGCTCCCCGGGAGACCTCATCCCCCCGAGAAGTTGCTTGTTTGCCCTACCCGTCATTAGCACAAGGTGCCCTGCAAGAAACTCACCGACACGGGGGCCATGCAGGCGTGGAAGAGGTCGTAGGGGATGGTGGGAAAGCAATCTGGAATGACGTGCGCTGTGCTGCAGGAGAAAAAAAGCAAATTCAGTGTAAAAATAGTTCCGCTTCAAAGAAGGATGAGGGGAAGAACTGAGAGCAGTAAAATATCATAAAAATCAGCGGTGCCTGGTGTGGTGGGGGATTCTGCATTTGGTGTCATTCCACCCTTAGGGAATAAAGCATTCAGGCTTGCTCTCCCGTAAGAGGGCCATTACATTAACTTAGAAGGGAAAACCTCCCTCATGCATGCAAAGACATTTTCCCAGTTCCTTGGAAGACGGGGCTTTGAGGGTTAGGGTTTACATACATTATGCTAATCGGAGGCAATCTATATTAATTTTTTAAAAAAGGAAAAGAAAAAGGTATGGAGTTAACCAAGGGGGAGCCAAAAGGGCTGGCAGTGTGAGCAGAGATGAAAAGCCCTTAATATGCATAACATGATTAGATGAGGGCCATGGTGCGAAGGAGGTCCACGGAGAGTTCAGCTGAAGAGTCAAACGATGCAGCAGAACTGAGGAAGAATTTGTTAAGGTGGGCTTCCCAAGGTGCATTTCTAAGGATCAGGGGAAGTTTCTCATTTGAGGATGCTAAAGAGTTGCCGCTTTGGGATGGCCTTAGATGTAGATGCAGCTGTGATACAGGAGGAGTTCCAGTTCAGGTGACTCGGACATCCATGTGGTGTTCAGCCAGTCTGTCTTGGGTGGGCTGTTGGTGGAAGTCAGATAACCCAGGAACTGTAGGCCCAGTCAGTTGCTGTTGTTAGTCATGAAGTTGTGTCCAACCCATCGCGACCCCATGGACAACATTCCTCCAGGCCCTCCTGTCCTCCACCATCCCCAGAGTCCACCCAAGCCCACACCAACTGCTTCCGTGACTCCATCCAGCCACCTCATTCTCTGCCGTCCCCTTCTTCTTTTGCCATCTATTGTTCCCAGCATCAGGCTCTTCTCCAGGGAGTCCTTCCTTTTCATTAGGTGGCCAAAGTATTTGAGCTTCATCTTCAGCATCTGGCCTTCCAAAGAGCAGTCAGGGTTGATCTCCTCTAGGACTGACCAGTTTGATCGCCTTGTGGTCCAAGGGACTCGCAGGAGTCTCCTCCAGCACCACAATTCAGAGGCCTCAGTTCTTTGGGGCTCAGCCTTCCTTATGGCCCAGCCAGTAGCTAGGACCAAAGACCAAGCGAGCTCTTGGAAGGACCAGGCCGGTCAAAGATCGAGCATGCAGGCGAGAGCAGGGACCCTGCCCTGGCACTTGAGTGAGTGGCCCAGGCTTGGCTGCAGGAGGGCTCTTCCAGTGAGAGGAACTGCACTCTCTCGAAATGCTCTGGTGGAGACTGGGCCAGCGCTGCCCCATCTCTGAGTGCAAAGGAGGTGGGACTCGTGAAGGAGCAGGAGTTGAGTGCCAGAGGGCACGCCACTGGTTTCGCAAGACCCACCTCGTCTCCCCATTGAAGGCAGGGGACGGGACCAGGCAGGCTGACTAGCAGGGACACAGCTCCGTGTGGGGAGAGTGGTGTTTTCCCCATCGTGGCGAAGTTCCAGGGCCTCCACCTTCCTCCCTGCTGCCATCTCGGATATCTGCAGCCCGGAGGAGGGGCTGGGATTCCCCAACCTTCAGGAGGCCCACTGCCTTCCCAGCCACGGGCAGGTCCCAGCCCTGCTGGCCTTCACGCCCACATGGCGATTTCCAACCCAGAAGAAGAGCTGGAGCTCCATTTGGCCCTGCAACCCATTCAAACAGTGGCCAGCCGAGCCCTTCCGCTCTCGGAGAACAGCAATTCTCCTCTGTATTTGCAGCAGAACTCTCAGCACCTGGCGAGAGGGAGAGAAGGTCTGGGTGGGGGGTCACACTGCAGCAAAGAGGCCCTTTTCAGTAGCCAATCAACTTAGAAACACAGAAACAGAGCAAGTCAGAAGGGGTCTCCCAGGCCATCTAGTCTGACCCCGGCTCCAGCCTGCTCTGCTCACAACATGCCTGCCATGTGCATGCCCAGCCTGTCCTTGAACACCCTCACTGATGGGGCCTCAACCACCTCCCGTGGAAGCCCATTCCATGCCCCAGGGGTCCTAACTGTCAGGAAGTGCTTCCTGGCATCCAAATGGGACCTTGGCTCCCTGAGCTTTGCTCCATTGGAGCTTGTCCTGCCCTCCTCTGCAGGGGAGAACAGGTCTCTACCCACCTGTGTGACACCCCCTCATGTACCTGTATGTCGCCAACAGATCCCCTCTGAGTCTCCTCTTCTCCAGGCTGGAAAGACCCAGTTCCCTCATATGTCTTTCCCTGCAACCCGGTCACCATCCTTGTGGCCCTTCGCTGCACTGACTCCAACCTGGCTCTCTCCTTCCTGTAACGAGGGGCCCAATACTGAGCACAATACTCCAGTTACGGGCGCACCAGAGTCGTACAGAGTGGCAGTAATACCTCTCTCGATCTCAAAGCCACGCTTCTGGCTACTTAAAACTCAAGAGGACTAGGAGCCAGGCTTGCTGCTTCTTTTGCCACTGGTTTGGGACCATCATGCTTGAGTTACTAAGACACATGTTCTTTGCAATTCTTCTCGAAGGTGTATGGTGACAGAGTGCTGAGAAAGGGACCCCTGGTATCATTAAAAATGAACAAAGCACCGGCTGTTTCCAAACCAGGCCATCCACGGTATGAGCTTTGGCAAGCATGGTTAAGATTTAAAGAGGAGAGAAGAAAATCCGAAAAACAACAACTGCCAATAAAATAAAAGTAGTCCTTCATCAAGAAGTCATGTGGATGGGGGTAAAGGATTGTGGTGAAAACTATGCAAATACTTGCAAGTATTCGAACACACCAGAATTCATTCTCATTTCCCCAGCCAACATTCTGAGAAGTTTCGATGTCTGATGCTTGTGCCAGGCATTAAATATGAAGGTTATGAGTCATCAGTGACACCATACTAAATATTCCTTGCATATTCTGTATAAATTCTACATGCATTTGCATGCCACCTGCTGAATGCGGCCAAATGCCACGGCATGCCCTCCAGGAAATATTTCCAGGCATTGTTATAAGCCAATCAAAATGATAAAAGCAAATAATGTACCAGGAGAGAGGCTGATATGAAACATTCTGTAAATATGCAAATATTCTGAGAAGGTTTAATGTTAAAATCCACACCCAAGTGTGGAACAAGTTTTAGGAGTGAGCTGGGTTGGACTCTGGGTAGTGGGGGAAGCGATTCTCCTGCTGGATAACGTTTTCCACGCAATGAATACACACTATGGGAAGGAAGCACATTAATACTCACTCATCTTGGTCTCCAGCTGGTTCGTACATGTACCAGTTGTCATCATACGTGAGGGACAAGTCGTCATTCGCCAGCTCTGAGGTCGACATCTTTTTTGCTTCTTTCCAGCAGGGTGAAAAAGGAAGAGCAAGAAGGATTTTTAAAAGTCTGGATGCTGTTCTTGGGTTAAAGATGCAATCACGCCGAGAATCTTGCAAGCACTCGCCCTGTGGCCAGTTCACTTTGTTGCAAAAAGTTTTAAACAAGCAAACAACCGAACTTCGGCTCTGCGGGAGGTGCTTCCACGCACACGACCCGAGCTTTCCGGGGACGCGCCTGTATCCCACCCCTTGCTCCGCAGAACTCAGTTCCAAGTGACTTTGCACCGTTTCAACAGCTGATGAGAACAAAGAAGGAAAGGAACAGAAGCGGGCGGTAAAAAAATCCGGCTCATGAGAGACCAGGTCCTGAACAAGGAGATTAAATGAGCTAACGATACGCAGAATGGGGGTTTCTTTGCCCCCACTCTGCCTGTGCGTTTGTGTTTCACGACTTAACAGCACACGTGACTCGGTAATAGTTCAAGGGGGTCAGGTTTTTAGGAAAAGAGGCTGACGGAAACTGACCATGATGGCAATAGTAACAGTTATAAGAATGTGGGTCAATTTGTGGACTGTAACACTCTGCCAAAAAATTATCCCCCATTTCTGAATCTGTGTGGACTTTTTGCAAACAATCCAAAAGGTATATTCTGAAATACACAGGAAGCCACTCAGTGATTCTTCGGATGTTGGTTTTGACAAGCTCCACTGTGGTTGGATCTGACCACCAGTATAATGAAATAATCGGAGTAGTGGCCAAGGACGACGGAACCCGGGTTCAAATTTGCCATTGAGCCAAGAAGTGCTTCAAAGGATCCAAAGCTGGTTATTCCCTCATTGGCCAAGCATACCTCATAGGGTTGAGGGCGGCGATCAAGCAGAGAAGGGAAGAACTATGTTTCTGGGGTTAGTGAGGGCTCTGACTGATGGGTGTTGTAGTAAGCCAACATGTCTGAAGGACAACAGTCTGCCCACCCCTGTTTTCATGACTGACCTTTTAACCTCAGCTGTGGAAACCTTGCAAGAAATACGGCCCAGACATTTCGGAGCACTAGCATTGGGAAGGGACCTCGGAGGACATCTAGTCCAAGACCTTTCCCAGTGCAGACATCTCTATTTCTCAGATTTAAAAAGCGTCATCCCCCGGGGATCCCAGGACGGTGCACACAACAAGCATATGCTCAAAACAACAACTCTCCAATCAGCAAGTCAAGCAAAAACACAGCTATCAGTTCAATTAATGATAAATGCAAGGGGCCCAACTCTTATGCCTGTTCAGCATTCCTGGCCACTCTGGGAGTCGTAAGACTTGGCTCTGTCTAAATGAGCTTTGGATCGTGCTGTTAATTTAAATCTGAAATTGGCAAAAGCCTACAATGCTGAAAGGCTCGGGCAACAGGACATATTTTAATCTTCCACAACAGCAGGACTGTGGACAGGCGGCCTTCCAGCCTCTGTTTAAACCGCCCCGGGGAAGAAGAGCCCGAATGCTCTCCAGGCTGCCCGGTTCACCGCCAAAGCTTCTTCACTGTTAGGAGGTTTCTCATACTACTGAAACCAAAACCCACGGCCCATTCAGTTTCCACCCTACTCTCTGGAGCGACGGAGAACAAGCCATCTTCCGCATGACGGCCCTGCAGATCTTTGAAAGCTGCTGTCTTGACTTTCTCTCAGTCTCCGTACCAGGTACCAACCAAGCAGCTTCCTACCAAGGTGAAGTCAGTCCTTCCCTTTACTGCTTTTTAGCAAGGCATGAATTACTTCCAGCAAAAGCCTCCCCGGCCCTGATTTCTTAAGTATGGAAATATTTGAAGTGGCATGCAGAAATGACATGCAGATCAATTTCCTCAAACCATGGGTTTCAGTTTGGAGTTTGCTTCCTATCATGGGAAGGGGATCCAGGGATGGCACTAAAATCCGGGGTCCCACAGGCCAAGCGTGGGGCCAATTTCCCACTGCCCCTACACAGGGGAAGAGGTCCATCGAGTCTCCAGCAGGTGACTTCTTTTCATTCCCATAGGCACGATAGTGCCAGGATTTAAGGGAGATTGGAACATGGACAGGCAGGCGCGTGCCCAGAACAGGCTAAAAAATAAGGTGGAAGAGAAGAATAGAAGAGTCTTCCCGGGTCAGAGAATCTCCAGTCTCCTCCAGCATTCAATGCACACGACGGCCAGCCTGTGAGAAGCACCCCAAGTTGCCCTCCCACCCAACTTCCCCAGCAACCTGGCTGTCCTAATATATCAGGAAGCAGTTTTGCAGCATGGGACAGCATCTGGGGGGAGGGAAAGATCAATATGTAATGTGAGCTTCACATGGGGCTACCTAAAGGAGTTCCCCATTGAGCCCAAGATCTAAAATTACCAGCCGCCGTACTGGAAACTGCTCTTCCCAACACACCTGTCCGTGGAACCAGGCCCGAGGGCCAATCTTTTCAAAGGACCACATCAATCACTTGGCCCTTAAAAGCTGCCCTGGGATTCACTAACTAGCCAAGGTAGCAGGTGTTTCCCTCAAAACAAAGTCCTGAAACTTTCGGGCTGGAATTCCTGGCCTCTCCAATAACTTATTTTCACTAGCGTGACTTCTAACATTTGCCCAGGCATGGGCCCCAAAATGCAACCGTGGCAGTCAGTTCCTGGCTTGCAGGATTATTTTGACTCATATTTCATCTTCTTTGGGGGAGTGTGTTTTGTTTTTATTGTAGCCCCAAGACCCAACAAAAAGAAGCAGGTGTACAGTTGTGGAGGACGGGGAGAACCACCTGAGGAGCTTCAAACGACGGAGAAGGTGGGATTATAAGAAAGCGGGTGCATTGCAAACCTCAGGTGATCTGTGGGCTGACCAGGGAAGGGCTTCTCAGAGCGATTCCCCACCGAGTCTGGCAGGGCTGGCTGCCAGGCAAGTGTGCTTGGGAATGCAGCCCGACTTTATTAGAACATACTGAAGCCAAGAAAAATTGCATTCGGAATTAAATCGAAAAGGAATCTGACATTTTAATTGGGATCTGCCTACCCCTGGGGGGAGGAAAGAAAAGGATCTGGGGAGGGGAAGAAAGGAAAGCGGTGACTTGCAGCCTGTTTTGGAACAGGCCGTGTCCACATTAGAGGAGGCGTTGAAAGTAGGAGAGATGGGGAGAGAGAGAGGAGCAATTCTCAGGTGCCGAAGGTGTTTATAACCACGCAGGCACCCGAGAATTGTTTTCCACTTTTACAAAGCTTGGCCACAGCCATGTTCAGCCCCGTCCACTGCCAGCTGGCGCATGCCCTCAACAGAACCTGATGGGGAGATGGCTCCCCATGGTTGCTGTCCGGTTGCCTCCGGAGTCCCCCTCTTGGCAACCTGTCCTCTGGCCCGTCCAAGCTCCCCGTCGTGCAAGGTGGGGCTCCTGGGCCACGAAGAGCTTTGGTAGGTTGGGCGGAGGCGCCCGTTCGCTTCCACACAATGGATGGCGTCACCGCCTCTCCCGCAGCGATGAAAGGAAGGCCACATAATGCGCGCCTTGTGAGAGCCAAACGCTTCTGCTCCCTCCCGGCGTGGGGCCTACGCTCCACCCTGCGCTTGCCCGAAACCCGATCCCTTTGCTCCTCCGTCTAACCTCTGCCAGGGGAGGCACAAGCTTTGATCGGCCGGCAAGGGCAGAGATGGATGGCTGCAATAAAGCCCGGTATAGTCATCATTTCCCGCTATCTATCACTCCCCAGAGAGCATTTCGCCTCTCGCCAAAATGAATAGCGATGCTGCCGAACCGGGAGGAGCCGAGCACATTGCATGTGGCTTTTAATAAAAAACGATAAGGGATCTGACTTGAAAACAGCTTGTGATTTCTGCGCAAGGGAGGTAATTCGAGGCAATTGAACTTTGCTCGGAGTGCAATGGCAGCGGCTTCGCAGGCGAGTCGGGAGCCGGCTGCCCCTGGAAGCGGGATTGGGACCCAGGAGAAAAGCGTCGCAGTGCGGTTCTGAGCCATTTTTAGCTTGCGACTTCTGGACTGAACGCAGACTTGGAGGCAGCCAGCGGGGAAATCTGTACATTTCGGAGCTTGCCAGGGGATTGGCAGAGCAAAAAACGATGCGTTTGACAGGCTGAAAAATACACCTGGACAAATATGTACTTTTGAAAAAAAATAAATTTACCACGTGTTTCTTTTTTATAGTTACATCCTCCCTTCTTTCCTGCTTACCTGAGCCTCCATTTTTATCTTCACAACAACCCTGTGAGGCAGGTTGGGCTGAGAGTCTGTGACTGGCCCAAAGTCACCCAGTTGGTTCCATGGCCGAGCAGGGACTAGAAGCTGGATCTCCCAAGTCCCAGCTCAACACTGACTCCCAAAGTTTTGAGTTCTCAGAATCTTGCTCCATAATTTGTGACATTTTGTAACTCCTAATAAAGGTAGTGCTTACAGCACTCCGTGGGGAATCCGAGTTATTTTTCTGTGCATGGCGGTGTTTCCTTAAAAACACACTTGGCTCTATTCATTGTTTCTGCTTGTCCTGTTTTTACAGGTGCTGCTTAAGCAAAGCCGCTGCGAACGTGCAAGAGATTATTATTATTAAGCCGGGAGACCAAGAGCAATTACATTCAATCAGCACCTGTTGTTGGAAAAGTCCAGCCAGGTGGAGCCCATCTTTGATTCCTCTGCCCACCTTGCCAGGGAAAACAGCCGAACACAAACACGGGGTGAGCAAACTGAAGGAAAGGGAGCAGAACTAGAGGCCAGGCAAAAAGTTTATAGTCCATGTATCACTTTCAGGCTCTGTATGCTCCAGTACCACCCAGTCACAGTTCTTAACATTTATTTCGGCTAAAAATAAAATCAAGCTCTACATTGCCCTCAGTGATACACAATAAAGCACAAATTGCCATGGCAATGAGATAAAGAAATAAAAGCAACTTTCGATGCTTGGCAAAAGGATCTGGTACTTAAACATTGGCACAAGCCCAGTAGCTCCAGGGAGGTAACTCTGAAAACGGGGGCCACCACCGAGGAGCCCTCTCCACTGTCATTA